TCGCATCTCCCAACAACGACCACCTCCGAACAATGGCCATTCTTTTATGTTGTTGTAAGTGTCCGTTGTTCAGAGGTTTGACTATATATTATATACTATTGTATGAAAGTGACGTTTGACATGTTTCAAACAGATTATCACCCCTACGAACAAAACACCCTAATAAAAAAATAGACACGAATAAATACAAAAATTAAGAGTACATAAACAAATAGTAATAAAGAAAATAAAATTGTAACAAGGGAATAATTCTCCATTTTATAAATTTACTATGCCATAAAATTGTTACTCTGTAAATTATTTAAGTCAAAAGAATTTCTATATTTTATTATAATGGTATCATGTTAATCTATTTTAAACATGGCAAATTTCTATTTTTAGTCAAAGAATAAGTTTCCTAGAAACGTTTCATCCATGAATAGTTTTTTCCTTAATTTTTGAAGAGAGTCATTGATGCTAGAGGAATAACGGCTCATAAATTATCTACAGAGTGAATTCTGAATAAAAGACTTTAAATATAATAAAATACACGAATAAAAGTCTATTTAAGAAGTTTTAGATGACCTTCTGAGATGAAAAGAGTATTTTATAACATTTTATATATACATAGGTATATGTTTATGTGTGTGTATGTATGTGTTTGTGTCTTTATATAACTTTTTGCAATATTTAAATTTTATTGTGTATAAAAAATATTTTAAAATTTTAGCAAAAATGTTTAATTTATAAAGTTTCTTCCTACTATATTACATATATATATATATATAACATTTTATATTGAACATTCTACTTTCAAGTCTACATGTTTCTTCTCAATCTTCTTGTCATTCTTCTCCTCTTACAATAATAAAATATTTATAAAATATTTAAATATTTTTATAAAAAATATAACGCTTCTTTAAATGAAATGTTTACTACAAAATATACTCTATTTAACTAAATATCTTTCGTCAGATTTTTTATACATTTAAATAAATAAAGCACATGAGGTACTTATTCTAATGTTTATATAGTGTAAAGGATTTAAATTAATTAATTCCTTTCATTTAGAACATTTTATTTCAGTTAAAATCCTTGAATTTAGTTAACAGAGAGTGTAATTGGTCAATGCACTCTGTGCAACTTGTAAGAGGATCGAGGTTAGATTTTCAATCGATAGGCTACCTTCTATGTATTTTTCGTTCTATGTCGTCAAATACTGATGAGAAAATAAATGTTATCGTCAATATTTTGCATTTAAGAATTGTTATTTATCATTTTTTAACACATCAATCGTTAAATATCCATATTTTTCCATAGTAAAATCGGGATTTTTACTTGGAAACTACTGGAAATTTATATTTCATACGTAGGAAGAAGCTCTGATTATTCATATTTTTTTTAAATAAAAATCGTTAAATATTCATATTTTTATATATATAATTCATTTATTTGATGTATTAACTGTTAAACATCTATTTTTTATATATACAAGTATTTATAGTTTCATAAAGTGTATGCATTTTATATAGAATTCATTAAATATCCGTGTTTTTACATAATAAATCATTGTATATTCATATTTTCCTTATGGAAATAATTAAATATTCATATATTTTAATACAGGAGACACTCGCAAAGCTATTTTACATATATATAATGTTAAACATTAGTATTTTTTATATAGAAATCAGTGTAGAGGAGCATTTTTCACACAACAATTAACAAATTTGTTGATACGAAACTCTTTAAAATCCATGTATTTTACATACAAAAATTGCTGGATATTCATATTCTTCATACTTTATTTCTATATNACATAATAACATGGTATAATTAACAAATACAGTCTTTGACTGTATTTGTTAATTATACCGTGTTATTATGTTATTGATTTGTGCAAAGTTGATATTAATGCAAAGCATATTTGCAGTCCTATGATGAGGATAGGCATTTCAATGTTAATGAATTCAGTTAATATGTAATACAAAGCATGTCATAGTTCCATCAATTCAATAAGAATTATATTGTTTAATACAAAGCATACTGCATCCAGAAAGTTACACAAGACATAAGACCAGGGAGTGTTTAAAATAGACTACAATACTTATAAGATCAATGTTGTTTTTGTTGTTGTTGGCAGCAATGAAGGAATATGCCATACTAATGATGTTCACTCCAACTCAAAAATTGCTGCACTTCCTATTGTAGTTGGTGCTTTATGCACTGCAAAAATGATGAATGATTAGTTAAGATAGTTGACATGTACAGTACATTGGAAACTGAAAGTTAATAGGATTGGGAGATTTTCAATTAAAGTTTTTAGTTTTGTTAAATAGTTCTTATTTTTAATTGCTTTAATAATGGAAATAATGAAGCAACTGAATTACAATATTAAATACTGTAACTATTTTGTAATTTTAAAATTAAAAATAAAAAAAATTGTTACACATTATCGCGGTTATAAGTAAAGTTCAACATCGACTTAATTATAAATCTCTTTAACCCATCGCCATTTTAAAATAATTAACATGTTTCTGAGTTTTAAATGCGGTTATTTTTAAATGAGTTGCTTGTAATTTGTTGTAAATTTCTAAAAATATTCTGAGTAATATAAATTAAATTTAAGAAAATGTACAGTTTAACATTTATACGCTTTAAAAATTATTAAATTTATTTAAAATTATTAAACATGTATAATTCAATATCACTTTGATGTAGCACCATTTTTGCTAGCCTCTAAACTTGTCACTAAATCGAATGTAACGCTAAAGTGAAGTAGTGAAGTAAAAAAATTAATAATGTAATAACGAGATATGCAAAAATTTGAGTTTGAAACTCACTTGATTTAGTGATGATAATGTCAAAATCGTATGTTAAATAGTTATGAAAATGATTCGTTCACGTAATTGGCGCTGTTTAGAAGGGTGCTATATTGAGGTTTAATTGTATATTACAAACCACTCTATACATTGTATGTTATTCTTATTTATTAAGCTTTCTTTAAACAGCAAAACTTAAAAAATATTTAAAATAATCTCATACACTTACCACAAATGCGTGACAAGTACTTGAAAGCTTACCAGCATTTAAGTAGAAATATTAATTTTCTAACATCAGAAATGAATTTAAGATTGGAAAAACAATAATTATTAAAGCGATTTCTCATTTATAAATTATCCTTTTTTGCTTTTTTAATATTTTTCATTTTTATTTTTGTACTTGCCATATAATTAGATAATGATCACAAGTAAAAATCTTTGCTACAGTTATATTTTCTTCAGGTTGCTTCATACTTTTTATGTATTCTCTAATAATTTACTTAAGTAAATATACATGTAACTAAATATAACACATCTCTACAGTTATCTAGATATTAGCATTACTTAATTATGGGGTCTTAAGAAAATATAAGAGTACAGTACTGTACATTACGCTGAACTTTAACATTAGATAACTTACATTTAAAAAATTTATTAGAAATTCTTTAAAAATTTCCAAAAGAAATTAACAGAAGAAAACACAGAGATTTCTCTTCTTTCTTCATCCTTCTAGAAAAATTTTCCTTAAAGTGTCCACTACCGGTGCGTTTACCTTATATATCAATGTATATCTTCTCTCTCTTTCTAATGTCGGGACCTCGATCCAATGCTGACCCTAGAGTTCTCTATTTGTCCCTAGTAACCAAAATGTCCTTCCCTCAGAATTATTCAGTCACAAGTCACCTCTGATCTAGAGCACTCCTCTCTCTCTCTCTTCTGACTACCATGAAGGTCCAGTTCGGACTAACTCAATCTTTATTCTCTTTGGCCCTTGGGTCTTGGCTCCTCCTTTGTTTCAAGTTCTTGGAACTGGTAACTCATAGTCTTTAGTTCTGGGGATTAGTGGTCTATTGTCTTCAGTTCTTGGAATCGATGGTTTCATTCAGAGGGAAGAAATGAAATAAAAAGAAAGTTATAGACAGACTGAGAACAAAGGGAATAAGAAACTATTAAAAATTATCTTACAAACTAAATGAAAAAAAATATATAACAATATGGCTGACAGCCACAGTAGGCATTGCAGATCTAGTGCCGACCCTTCAGTCATATTAGTCTTTAAGTTTGATGCCGATAATTATAATTTAGTTCTGTTTTCTACCATTTAAATTATTTATCATGAAATCAAATAAAGTAACAAATGATCTGTTTAATTTAGTTACCTTCAATGTTTTATTCCAAATTTTTAATATTTTTATTTCAAAATTTTTGAATAAAACATTGAGAATCAAATGGTTTATTGAAATTAGATGATAGTTTGAATAATTTAAATAAAAAATGGACTTAAAATTTTATTTATTACTTGATAAGTCAGGAAATGAATTAATCTAAAGAATTCCAAGCAAACTAAAACACTACTTGTCTTTTATCTAATATTATTTAATATCAATTAACTATCAATTGTAGATTTTTCTGATCTTTTTTCATATTAAAAAATAAATTTTAATGTATAATTTCCTTTAATATAAGAAATTTCAAGAATATTTTATTATCTATAAGATCAGTATCTTATATAGTTATTTAAATTTAATTCTTTTTATTTTTATATTTGAAGAATACAACTGGAACTGAAAATATTATAATGAATGATATGAAATGGATTGGATTTCAAAAGACAAGCAGTATTATTGTCTATTGCAAAGTAAATGATTTTTTTTTATTCTAATAATGTAAGAGATGAAATACAGTAAGTTCTTTTGCTATGCTATGCTTGATTTTTTTTCATGTCTCTAATAGTGTTTAATGTCATTAGCTCTTGTTTAAATTCAATACATTCTATATTATCATAGCTAATTAGTTAGTTAATGAATATCATAATGCTTCATTATACTCTAGTTTCTGATTTTATATCCTAAACTTTCTAGTACATTTTCTTCCAATTTCAGAAACACTCTAACTTGCTGAATATTTAAGGTTGTTATTAATTTAGTAGAAAAATTTGTAATAATAATAGGTATACGTCACATCCACACATGCTAACTTATCTTAAATTTTAAGACTAGGCAGCTTATGTAACAAGACTAGGCAGCTTATGTAACACTTAACCATCAGAGGGGGAAAGTTGGAATTTTTCATGGACCCAGAGAAAATTTAGGACTCCTTAGTGATTCTTATCCTTATAAATTATTGTTATTTTTCTTTTTCTTCATGTGCCATATCAGCTCATCCTGATGTCAGCGAACACCCAGCGCAGGTTAGTATGGATTAATTGGCACGCCAAGTAATGTCCTAGGGAAGTTAGTACCAGAATGGTTCCCCATTTCCTTCTCTGGATATGCAATGTTATGTGGGGGGGAAAATGCCTTCTGGGAGATTTTTTAAGGGTAACTGGCCCCTTTTCAGGCATTACAGACATGGACAAAAACCCAGAAAACTCATCATGGCCAGTCCATCCAGGCAATGCACAAATTCACAATCAAACTCCCAGTGTTTAGGGATGGAACTGTTCAGGCATTAGTGGGTCTTTGTTATTTTTATTAACAGAAAATAAAATCTCTAAGTCTGCTTGTAATGTTCATTATGAGAGAGATATGTTAGTTAGTTAACACATGTTTTGTGTGTTAACTAACATGACTTTCTTTTTCTTTCCCTTATACAACCTGAGACATTATCCATTGTATGAGAGAGCAAGAGAAAGTCAAAGAATTTCCCATAAGAGAATAAAAAGAGAACTTACTGTATAATAGTTTTGAAACATTATTTATTATTATATATTTTGAAACTACACCTTTAGTGAGATGATATATATATTTTTAGGGTTATATTGGACTTCTTTTTCTTCTTACATTTCAAGCAATTGTAACAAATCGTCAGAAAGTAATAAGACATCAAAATAAACTACTAGAACCAAAAGCAGGTATTCTGTTTCCCGAAATTTCTCGAAAAGAAGCAGATGAAGGCATTATTGAATGTATTAAATATCTTTTTAATTATTTCTTTTATAAAACTGGTGTTGAGGTAAAAAGTTAATTCAATAAGTGTTATATTTAATTTAAATGTGTGAAATTTATTTAAAACTATCAAATCTTTACAGTTTTGTTTTATCATTATGGTATGCTGTATTGGGATTAGACCAGATATATTTTCTATAATATCAGCTCTTTGGTTATATTTACTATTCTTGCTTCATCGAGAAACTCTTGCTAAAATATGGCCTTTTTACATAGCATATCTATGCTTTTTACTTCCACTTCAATATATGCTTTGTCTTGGTATTCCTCCAAGTTTTTGCTTTGGTAAGTTATTAATTAAATTTTATATTGTTTTTCAGCTTTGATTAATTGAAAAGAACAATATCTAGGTATGTAATAAAAAATTATAGCTAAATATGTCTGTCATATCTCAGAAAATATCATCATAAATAGTAGAGTCAAAAATCAACTGAACTTGTATCATTAACATAATAAAAGTTATATTAAAAGTTTTTATTTCTGTAAATACTTTCATTTACTCCTTTCAAATAGGAACCATCTACCAATGTTCATACTATTTAATAACAATCTTGCAGCTCATTCTGTGTTATTTTCTTGAGTTCAGTCATTTTGTAAGGATGTATGGCATTTGTTGTCATTGCCTGATACTGAGTTTGTCAGGATGCTGAACAGAAGAAGGGTTTGCAGATATAAACCACATTTGTGGGTGCCAAAGGACTCAGAATCAAGACACCTTTACAAATTTCCCATTTATTGATACTAAAATGATACTAAAATTAGTCATTTACATAACTAGATCTTCTTCTAGCTACCTTGGTTGTTCATTTCCTGAGGTTGTTCTTGGTTTTTAGATTTATAGTTCATAAGTCCTATATGAGTTCAGATGATGTCAGGCCCAGAATGTAGTTGTTGATAATGTGGACAAGAAGGTCACTTAATCCAGTGATTGTCAGACATGTCATTCTTGCAAAAACTTATCATGATGCCTTTTGAGTTTTTAGGTGATGAAGTCATGCAGAAGTTAACTGATTGATGCATAAAATTAACAGAGTTAAATAGATTGATAAAATGCAGTTTTGGAGGATTGGGTGGAGAAGTGTACCATGGTCTTGAGATGCAGGTTTTTATACAATATAGTCGCAGACCAAACAATTTAATTGGTCCCGAATCTTCCTCTGTCCTCCTCAATTGGTTCCTTTTTATGTATCCAGGTAGAACTAGACTCAATCAGGGCATAAGAAAGGTTGAGCTGCAATGTTAACCTGACTCTACATCTCAATCTCTGACCACCAACTACCAACTACAGGATATTTAAACAAATCTTGAAACTTTTGCTCATATTTTGATGAGTCTTGTTTTTTTTTCTTGTCTGTTAAGAATTTCTATTATGTGTTTCACAATATTTTAGTAAATGAAATATTTTATGGCATTTTGAGCTTGCCATTATTTTGTCATATTTATGAGCACTGAAGCTAAAGTTCATCTTTCTGGTCTGACACATGAACTCAGGTTGTCCAAGACTTACATTGATACATTTTTTATCTTTGTGTTGTGTTTATTTTACGAAATTGCTTTCTTGAGTGGAAAGCTTTTAGACATAATTTAATGCAGGGTTCAGATCTCATTCAGAACCTCAATTTCATCACTCTTTACCTCTTCTTCTGAATTGAATCTACAACTCTTCAGAACAGCTTTCATTTGTTAAAGATAGGAAAGTTTGTGGGAGAAAATTCAATGAGTAAAGCAATGGAAGTACAGGTTTCTGATGTTTTGATGATAATGATGATGATAGATATTCACTAATTAGAGAGCATAACATACCATAATAAAAATGCTTTGTGTATTGTTGTGACAGATCCAGCTGTTTGCTTGTCAGAGATTATGCCATTTTTATTTTATTATGTTATGGAGGCAACTCTAAATGTCAATGAGGACTTATTGTTAATGGGTCTACTAGAGGAAGCAAATTTGTTATGCACCAAGCCTTTTATATTGAAGCCTTTATATTACAGCATTTGTTGTACATTTTATCATTCATGGCTCAATAACTTCTATTTTACATTTATATGAGATGAGCAAATTAAGCATTTGCAAAAAATATACAGAACACGTAAGACTGTTTACAATTCTGTTGGTTCTTGACCAATGGAAGAATGTCAAATTTCATCACAAACCGAAATTTCCATTAGACCAGTGTTTTTCAACCTTTTTGAATACGCGACCCCTTTACAAGTTAAAAAATTCTGGTGACCCCCCAGGGCCATATTAAAACTACATCAGTGATTTTAAAAACTACATATTTAATTTTCTTTCCTTAAATATCGATCAAAAAACCAATTGTACTATAAAATAAACAGGCACAACCTTCTCACTGAAATTCTAGTTTTTTTATTGTAGTGTAGGGCCTACAAATACTTGTCTTTTTCTTTCACCCGCGAACCCCCCATGTAAGGCTTTGCGATCCCCCTAGGGGGGTCGCAACCCACAGGTTGAAAAACACTGCATTAGACCGACCATTATGAGGTCTGGCATCAAGCCAATGGTACTCAGTGGAACTTAACTGTTGACACCACAAATGCTGTAATGTAATGGAACATCATCAATAGATGTGAAAAGAACAGAATATTGACTAAAAATTGGCCTTTAGTGAAGAGGTTGATTTCTGTGTCAATGAGATATACAGTTGAGTCTGTGTAAATCCTCAGAGGTATAACTAGACACCATCGGTTAAGTAGTGAGTTTTCTGTGGTCCCGGCTGACATACATAGGCATTAATGTTAAAAATCTCTGATTTATTCGACACCATTTAACTCATCACCACTGAATAAATCACCATACTTTTCTGTCCCACACTCATTTAGATGTCTGATAAGTCTACTTCCCTCCTGAAAAAATGAGTTCCCACCATGCAGTTTAATGTCACAGCAGAATCTGATTTTACATTTTCTCACCATTCCTGCATGCATAACTTACAGCAAGTGTTTCACATTTCTGTTAGAAATTAGTATCTGAAAACTAACAATGCTTACGCTAAAGGAAAAATATGAACTTGTATCTAAATTTGAATGTAATAAAATGTTGCAAGCCAAATTTGCAAAACAAGAAAACCTTCCAAGAACAACATTGGTGGAATTCTGAAGAAAAAGAGGAAATTAAGAAACTTTTTCTTGGGTCTTCGTTGCAGCTGTCTCGAAAACACCAGAGAAAGTCGCTGTACAAACATGTTGAAGATGCTCTGCTATGTTAGCTAAAGCAAATTCGTTTATCCAATCTTGTTTCAGGACCAATACTGAAACAAAAAGTGATGGAAATCGCTGAGGTACTTGGAGTAGAAACCAACTTTAGTGCCAGTGTTGCATGGAATAGTCAACTTACTTTGATGACATTTCCTTTAATTATTAGTTAATTTATTATGTGAATATAATGCATCATACAAAATAACATGAATATCTATTGTGCAAGTATAAAAGATTCCAATATTATAGCAACTAAGTAATGAGAATAAGATTCACACTTTTCATTTGAATTATTGATTCATGAAATGTGGATCATGGAAGGAGGGTTGTTTCAAATTATTCCTTATATTTATTATTAGCAATATATAAAAACGTTTTTAAAAATATCTTGCATTATTTATTCTAAATTTACTTTTATGTTTGATTTCTTCTAGAATATCTGTGGACTGATTTAATAGATTCAGGTACTAGGGAATGGCTTTATCTTCCTGACAATAAAGAACCACCAGAAGTATCTAAAATATTAGGTAAAAATAATTAAATAATACTAGATATTTATAAATTTGCATCTAAAATTGTTTTTATTTTTTAGTGGAATTTTTTCAGCTCTTATTTGCTTGTTGTCAATTCTACGTATTTTCAATTGAGATGAGTCCTAATGCAGAGAGTTACAAAGGCGGTAGTAATAAAGAAATTTCAAATTTGTTATTTGAAGAAAAACAAGAAAATCTGGTATCAGATTTTATTACATTTACAAAGTTAGTAATTATTGTTAATTTTTTTAATATTAACTTGAGTTATTTTAATTTTTTTTTAAATCTTAAGTTAGCTGTATTATTTTCTATTTTAAAAAAATGTTTAAGATTTCTTTTTGGAAATTGTTTGTGTGTAAAAATACAATTTTATTTTATCAGTACATATGAAAAAATAATTTTCATAGAGTAAAATAATGTTTTCATTCTTTAATTCATATGATATCAATTTTCATTAAATTTCCAGAAAATATCAAATTTATATTAATAATTAGTGAATAATTTACAGAATAACGATGGAAATATTTTCAGATTAAATATGTAATTCTGTATTTAACATAAAATATCTCTAAGATTAAGAGGGGGAAAAGAATAAATTTCAATTTTTACAATAATACTTCAACAGTCTTCAATTTATATTAATGTATTTTAAAAATAATAAAAGAGAAAAATAAAGAATGATTCAGGATTTGACTTTATGGAAGATGTAATCCAATATTCCATATAATGCAATAGATGACATTCTCCACTCTCCTAATATAGATGTTTCTGTTACAAATATATTTAACATTTAGCAGATAATGATGATATCTTAATTACTTTATATGTCATTTTATTTATATTAATTTATTGTTATTTTAGGTCTTATTTAGACATGATAAAAATTGCTGTATTTTTCTCATCATATTGGATAACATTAGCACTTCTATTTTTTGCTGGTACTGTAAGAATTAATTTATTTGCTATGGGTTATGTTTTTGGATGTTTTTTCTTTTTGTGGAATGGACAGGAATTGTATTTGCAGCCTTTGAAGCAGTTGTTACAAATGTAAGTAATGTTAAAATTTGTGCATAATAACTTAATGTTATTTTGTTGAGAAAAACGAGAATTAAAAACTTTACCAATCCAAATTTATTATTAAAAATATAGCATTGAAAGTGAAGATGATATACTAGCCACTGGGATAACTTACTGGACTAATTACTGTACCTTTACTAGTGCAGTTTTAGAACATTAATGGCAGTCAAAAATGTATAAAACCTCTGTATGTGTATACAGTAGATCCCCCTATAAGACGGTAGATACGTTCCGTTCTTTATGAATCAATTTTGTAGGAATCATAGTTTATGGACTACGGCTGTTTGAAAGGTTTTCTTTCATAAAATTAATCGATTCTAGACTAATTCGACTCAACATTTCCAAAATACGTATATTTTTTTGAAAATAATCCGTATAAACTACGTTATAAACAAAAAATTGTAGGATTGCTTACCGAGTGTGTACCGTTCGACTACGCCCGTTGCTAAAGCTTGGTTTCGTCGCGGAACAGCGCATCAAACCGCGGCCGCGATTTCTGATATTATTTTTCTGCGAAAACTTCGTTGACCTTTGGAGACATCCTTAATATAAATAATTTTTATGGCCGTTAAATAAGAAATGTTTCTTTCACAAGAAATGTATAAAATTACAGTACTGGACAGACGATAGGTCGCCTAACTCGCCGTAGCGTGACGCTAGACGGCGAAAAATATATATTTAATTATAATAAAGTTACAATAAATTAAGTTAATATATAATTATATATACAGTACCTAATTTATATATAATTAATATATAATTATATGTACAGTACCTAATTTATATATAATTATATGAACAGACGATACTAAACTCAATTTATCCGCCTAAACGTCCGTAGCGTGGCGCTACGGACGGCGGGAAAGTAGTTCGGCTGCCCGATGACATTTTACGTATTATAGGAGTTATTTTTACCATTGTTTATGGATACTGCCACAATTTTTATAGGAATCATAACTATAGGAAACGGTTTTATAGGGGGATCTACTGTATATAATAAAATTTGGGATTCATTAAAGAAATGAAGAGACTGTGAATATTTGTAACTGAGGCAATTTCTTTTATTTTAAAAACTAAAACAAGAACAACATATGATTCTTATCCAATAGATGGGTCCCATAAGTGAGGGTATAGTGCAAACTGCTGGTGTGAAACAGAAGAGACAAGGAGATTTAATTCTTTTGTCTAAGTTAGGTCCCTCTGCTGGATCAAATTGATTCTCACTTGAAAGCAGCAACATTTTATATATATATATTGTTCCTTCTTCGTATATATATATATATATATGAAGGAAGACCGATATTAAAGGTACTAACGTTTATAATTAAAGAAAATATTTAATACATTTCACAAAAACTACATACTTTTGTTTATTTCATGACATAATTGCTGTAAATATTGGGACATTTATTCCAGCATGACACTAGTTTGAACAACTAGCTTGTCAAGTTACTTCATGTAGTCAAGAATGGTGTCTTGCAATTCCTCCTAATTCACAAAGCATTTCCCCACCAAAAATTTTTTTAAAGATCCAAATAAATGAAAATCTGTGGGTGGTTAAATCTCCACATGTGAAATCAAACCAAACTATGGTTGGCACAATGGAATTGGGAAGTCTTGCAACATCCTCTCTATAATCCAGATTTAGCCTCTTTTGGATTTTTTTATTCCATTATTTCTATATAAACTAATTGTCATAAAAATATTTTAATATAATTTATTTTTGAAAATTATTTTTATATTAAATATTTTTAAAATATTTTTTTAGGTGGAATTATCTTTTATCATACAATGTATTTGTGATATTATTCAAGGCAATACTACAGGTTAATAATTTTCTTACAATAAAAATTATAAAATTAATAATAGTGAAGTAAGATTTTCAATTTTTAATATTATTTACAAATAATTTTAATTTTATTTTGTTTGGGTACTAGATGCATATTATTATTTTATTTATTACATGAAATTTTTAAATCTAGATAATATAGAATGATTGTTTAATTTATTTTTAGTTTCTAATATATTATTATAAGTGTTGCAGCTTTGATACTATAACTGTTTTTCTTCTTTCCAACTTTCTCAAAAATTACATAATACATAATTAATTTATATGATGATAATAAAGATGTAAGCTGGAGAATATTTAGAAGAGAAAATTATTATTATTGAAAAAAGCAGGCAAAGGCTCTTGCTCAACTTTCTCAACACTTAAACAGGAGGTTAAGGAGCCCATTAGGAAGTTTGATAATTTTCAATCATACTACAATATAAAATTAAAATAATAACAAAAGCTTAAAAGGAGTAATTTTGTTATGATAAAATGTCTGCTTTAAAAATATTTTGATTTAATAAACATTATGACACTAGCTGAAAGTTAAAATTGTGTGTGGTGCCTTCTGTTATGAGTTTTATTAAAAAATTATTTTCATATTATTAATTATTATAAAAAGGCAAAAGGCTTAATTTTGAGAGTAGAGATGAATTTTTAAAAATATTGTATAAATGCCAGTAATGAGTAAAATTATCATTAAATCCAATCCCATCTGAAACACATGATTCCCCTCTACCTCCCTACCTCTTAGCCATCAAAATTTAAAGCATCAATATCATCTATAATCCTGTTAATTTTCAAAATTTTTGGTTCATTTAGTCTTGAGATATAATGCAAAATAGATGCTAGCACGCACACAGAACTCTTTTGGTCTCCTTGAGTGTCAACAAAAAAAGAAATGCAAAATAACCATGGAGTCAAAATTTGACCAATTACCATACTTTTCTTGCATTAGCGAGGTTGAGGCCAAAGTTTTAAATGCGAAAATGTGTATGTCAGATGTTCAGCACTGCTTTCCTGTAAGCCTAGAAGTTTGACAATGGTTAAATTAATATGCCTCAATGGCCTTAATTTATTGTAATCTTATTTCGTCCACTAGTATGTATCTATTAACAGGACTTATTAAACTGGCTTTAAGGATACTGCAACTCAGTTTCACAGATTTTATAATCTGTGAAACTGAGTTGCAGTATCCTTAAGGCCATAAAATTTTGACACAGTGTTGCATTCAAATACGTGCGTGTTTTTATATTATATAGATGCCAATCCCCCCTGTGGGGGAGAGGGACAAAATAAAGGCTTACTGTGAAGAACTTGGCTTCTATTATACTATTTTAGATGTGGTTTTTTGCATTTTTGATTGTGTTTGATTTGAGTGTTATACATTTATAATAGATACATTTTGAGCCACAGCAATGCATGTTCAGGTACAAGCTAGTACAAAATAAACAAGAAAGTAAATGTGGTGCCCGTCCCCCACGTTGTCGTGATTTGGGCAAGTCCGATGTCCTGTGCAGGAATTCGGGGCAGGCGGGAAAAAAGACGAACTGTTAGAATCACGACGTAACGCAAAAGNGTCGAGAATTTAAAGCGGAAATTCAAACCGGAGATGATGGCTATCTTCCGTACAGAAGGTCAAAACCAGAGGGTGAAGGATTTATCACAACAACGGGAGTGAAAACTATTAGTGCATATGTTACCGCTAAAGCTCGAAATCCGTAAATGTGCAGATTACCTAGCTAATCTGCAGATTAACTAGGGTGATCCGTTAAAGCTGCGAAAATTGTTTCATTTCTCAAATTACCTAGGTAATCTGTAGAGTATCTAGGTAATCTGCACATTAACTACTAGGCACTCGGTAAAGTGAAAATAAGATCTTTGCTGGAAAAACTGCAACGTTTCTGTACGCTTAAATCAACATAATGTTATTTTATTTAATTTTTAATATCTAAAGAATCAAGTTAACACAATCAAACAATCAACAAATTAGTTGATTGGATCATCAATCAATTAAAAAAACTTTAATACAAAAATCAAACAGTTTAAAATATTATTACAATTAGAGAAATGAATTTGCAAAACATATGATAAAATTGTACTTACTTATTAGTGCAATCTAAAGATTGGTGACACTTTGAATTACGTAGCAATTGGTTTTTGCGACAAGCACGCCTATTTGTGGTACATTTAGATTTGCAGTCACATTTTCTGAATCTCTGCCCAGTACCGAGGGATTGTTTTATTGCTATTTGACGTAAAGGTATTTCTACAGCAGGGACATTCATTTTCTTTCGTTAAAAATCTCTCTTTGCAAACACTGAATTCAGATTTTGCATACAATTGTATACAAGTGTATTACATTCGATAAAAAGTGAAGAAGATCTTGAAAAATTAGAAGATTCACAAGAGACTGTAATTATGAGATCACAGTCAAATCTTACTCAAGATGACATTCCGTTTTCCCCTGCTTCTACAGAATCACCTATAGAAATACAAGAATTTATCGATAGTAATCTTAAACTGCCTTCTATACCGTTGATTGATGATACAGTCACGAAGAATATTCAGTTACCTTGCACCTCCAAGGAATCGCCTCTGCAAGTTGAAGAAGTCATCACTGAGTTACTCTCAACTTCAGCAGAATCGCCATCACAGTTTCGTACAGAGCCTGTAAAGAGCACTATACAAGACATAGTCTGTATTGTTTGCTCAAAAGCAGCATCAAGTGCTCACAAGTGTAAATCGTGTNTTTTGTAATTCATTTGTTAGTTGATAGAGAATTAAAACGAATTTTAAAATATTTTACCGAAAACTGTCTTTCACGATGCTGTAATGAATCGGCAATAAAATAATGTTTAAAAATAAAAAAAAAACCTTTTCTAAAAACAAGATACAGGATAAGTCAAATAACTTTACAATTGTATATTTTAGTAAATTTTCATTTTAAACTTAGTCAGCAGGATGGCTGGGGCTGTTAAAGCGTCAGCCTATTGCTCTGGGCTACCTAGGATCAAATCGGAGCAGAAAACTCCGGGATCGTTTTCGTAAGCGATCGGTTCCAGACGTATCGTGCCCAGTCCCCTAAAGTCAACGCTGTATACGAGGCCCCTTATTCATATTCGTCTGGTTCCATGAAGCTATAACGCTCCATTGATTGTGGAATTGGCCCATCGAAGTCTGGGCCAAGCCAAAAATTTCTGTTTTTTATCAAAAATTTAAAAAGAATATCCAATCTCTTAATTTCTTATAATTTCATCATTTTCGAAAAGACAGAAACTTATTAAAATTATTTATTGAATTTAATAGCATATTTCGGTAGGTGTCCTCATCAGATAATTACATAAACATACGTTTTAATAAATGATAAACACTGAAATAGTAGGAAATCAGGCAACTGAATGTTTCTAATTCCAATATTTACAATTGAATTGTAAATATTATTTCTAAATTTTGAATCACTATGCGTTTTTTAAACTATATTTTAATTTTGTATAAGACAAAATACATTTTGTTAAACACATGAAATTTCAAAAGTATATATTGAAATTTCATTTGAAATACCATAATTTACTATACTTTACGGTATTTAAGACGTATTTCAGCACAAAATATTTGTAAATAAATGTGTGCCTTTACTTGTAGCATGCTGAAGGCTGGAGAATTCATTAGCTTATGGGAATCGCAACTTCATATATAAAATGCAGGAAAATTTTTTGACTTATTTTTTAACCATTACAGATGAATTAATAAACAATAATACCGAAATACATAATTTTACTTTTATGAAGTCTAAGTGAAATTAAAAATATATTGTCGCAGAATATACATAAATATTTTTTTTTCATTTTCAAAATTTCAACAATGTATCGCAGACATCTTTTTCTTCACTCTGATGATTAGAATATCAATATAATGAAATAAAAGTTCGATATTGGATATGAAATATAACAGTAACAAGGCCGGATAATCAGACGATTTGGGCGTCAACCCATCGCTTTTGAAGACTAACTTCAGGAATTTGTATGGGTAGTCCTTACTGGATATGTTGAACCTAGTCTTTTATTGCCCGGTAGCCCTCATTTTGGTTTGGTCCCACGATGAGCTTACTAAAAATGCTATTTTATTCATATTTAAATATTGAATATTCTACTAATAATGTTGTAAGTTTTGATTGGTTGATTACTTAGCACCTGCCATAAACAATTATAAACTGTATGATCGCATAAATACGCACATTACAAACTGGCCTAACTTTCTATGGGGTTGAGTAATGAAACCAAGAGATGGAGAATGATACGTCGAATGGTACTATCGGTAGGCTAATATCTAACCATGGATCTACTGGGAGTATAACAATATATACTATTTAAACAGTTCTTAGTACACGTTAACACCATTGACGTTAACAAATATTTGTCAAGTTAAGGTCTCTTTATATATGCAGGGAACGGATTAGAGAAGAGAACACGATATTACGAACAATACTTCACATTTGCAGGAATCACCTTCAAAACTGCACTGAATATGCGAATATGACAAATAGAAATATATTGAATAACAAGTTTACGGCATTAAAAAGTACACGATTTTAGATAATAAAGATACATTTTCATACAAAGAAGTTTAACTACTGCTTGATTCATTACGATGGAAGATATTGATAGAAGAAAAAGTTTGCATAAGNTCTAACCGTGGATCTACTGGGAGTATAACAATATATACTATTTAAACAGTTCTTAGTACACGTTAACACCATTGACGTTAACAAATATTTGTCAAGTTAAGGTCTCTTTATATATGCAGGGAACGGATTAGAGAAGAGAACACGATATTACGAACAATACTTCACATTTGCAGGAATCACCTTCAAAACTGCACTGAATATGCGAATATGACAAATAGAAATATATTGAATAACAAGTTTACGGCATTAAAAAGTACACGATTTTAGATAATAAAGATACATTTTCATACAAAAAAGTTTAACTACTGCTTGATTCATTACGATGGAAGATATTGATAGAAGAAAAAGTTTGCATAAGCCCACTAGTGATCGAATGGATAAAATCGCTGAATACTGGTAATTGATCGCATGTTTGCCTCCCACATCCAACTGACCAGATGAAATTTTGCGTGTTTCCTTCATACATCTAACTCGTAAATGGAAGCTATTTCCCACAGATAAGTCTCCCAGTAGGCATTTTTGCATAGCAAGACTGTTAGGTGTTGCGTAGCCAAATAAGTAAACAAATCGAATTAAATTTTTTTCCAGAAAAATGATATGAAGTTAATGTAACATTTCTTCACTCACTATACTTAATTCTTAACGAATATCTTAATTTTTATTTTTCTTTGTGAAATTGTTCAACAATTATTACTTTAACCCTGCGTTAGTGCACTGAGTTTTTTTCGGCACTAGTGCAATGGGGTGTTTGTCCACCCCCACGTTTTTTTGGTCCATGAACCATGTAAGTAAAAATTCATAAAGTTTTACTCATTTATATGGTAAAGGCATGTGTCATTATACATATGATTATATTCAGGTATAATTACATATTATATTAAGTATAAGTACATAAATCCATGAAAATAAAAAACAACATTTATCAAATCTCATTACATTAGATCTTATTATTAAACCAATAGTAAAAATTTAATTTGTTTTTTTAAGCAATTTTGTCACTTTAATTCATTAGCTGTCATTGTACTTTGGCACACAATGCAAATGACAAGCAGCTTGCTATGTTTGGTATTTTCTGAGTGTGTTTTTATCAAAGTCAGCCAATTTGAATTTGTAAGGGAATAAAACTAATTAAAATAAACTTATAGTAATCAATGTGAATAAAAATAATTTATCTATATTATAAATAATTAATGTGGTCACCTTATAGTTATTTTAAAAATAAAAAAATCTAAATAAATATTTATAAGATTTAAAAAACACGTAATTGATACTGTGGGGGATTTGGACACTTCAATGAAAATTGTCGTCTTTCTCTTACTGGAGTTTGCAACACCGTAGTAATTTCTGAGCATGCTCTATACATAAAATCATGAAGCTACTGAAGAGGAAACAAATATTTTTTGCGAAATCTATGAATAGTGCAACTTTCAAAACGTTTGGAGTGTCGAAAAGCCCCACTGCATTACTTCAGGGTTAAAAACATTTTTAAGTATGGAATGCATTCCTTATTTTTATATATTTGTGGTGCCCGTCCCCCACGTTGTAGTGATTTGGGCAAGTCCGANGAATTTCTGAAACCATGGAATGGTATTCTAGAGTGCTAGTGAGAGGACCAAGGTTAAGACGAATTTGAGGAAGATAGGGAAAAGAAGATGCGAGAATGAAAGAGAGAGAGAGAAAGGGATAAGACGACAAACGACGTTTAAATTAATTAAAGACGAAAGAACTGTTTAAAGAAGACGTAATGAGTTTTAAGATGAAAATTGTTCCTATCCATTTTCCAAGAAGACAGACGTTTGATGGACTTAAAAGACGATCAACCTTAAAACCTTTACTTTTCAGAGACTTATTTTTTGCAGTTTTGTTTTCTGTGTTTTTCTTTTGTATTTCAGTGTCTCTGGAGGTCCAGACGAATCTAGGATGGCCGAATGTGGTGCCCGTCCCCCACGTTGTAGTGATTTGGCCAAGTCCGATGTCCTGCGCAGGAATTCGGGGCAGGCGGGAAAAAAGACGAACTGTTAGAATTACGACGTGACGCTAAAGACGTGTCAGCCCAAAGACGATTTTATTTGTTCAACAATTAGTATTAAGATAATTTGTTTAGTGTTTATTGTTTGTAATGTCCTTTTTGTGTATCGTATTAAATATACGTTATTATATATCATAAGGAGTTCCTCGTATTTTTTCTTAAACTGTGTTCTGCATATTCTTCTTAACGCCCAGCAAAGCCATCTTTAGACCCCCACATATTTATATTTATAAATCGCCTTTAATATTGTAATTGTACAAATAGAAGATAGATTTAAAAGTATACCAAATATTATTTCTGATTTCAAATTAATCACTAATATAAAAACCTTGGAAAAACATGAATTAGAAAAATGTTCCAAAAACTTTGTAAAGTTTTATAACAAAGACGTAGATGAAAACCTAATCCAGGAAATTGGTTCGCTATGGGATTTGATTTTGAATGAAAGGGATGTAAATAACGCACAAGACATATTGCAATACATACTAAATAATACTTATAATAAGTTATTTCTAAATGTATTAACTGTGTTAAAACGTTTCTTTACGTTGCCAGTTACTATAGCAAGTGCTGAGCGCTCTTTCAGCAAATTAAAATTAATAAAGAATTATCTTCTGTCCAGCATGTGTGCATAACGCTTAAATGCACTTGCTATATTAAGCATCGAAAAAAAAATTGCAAAAAATTGTAATTTTTCTGAAGTAGTTAATGTATTAGCAAAAACAAAATCACGCTTTAATTTAAATAAACATGCATTAGTAATATATGTTCGTGTTTGTAATTTTTTTTTTACTTTACAAAAAATTTAGGTCCCTAAGGGCCCAAATAGTTTCTTGCACTCGGGCCCCTTTATAGAGAAGGCCGGCCCTGCATTCGCATATGTATGCGAATGAAACTTGACCGGAAATAATTTAATTTCTTTCATTAATATTTTTTAATCAACTTATAAAGTTTTATGACACCATCACATTTTCCTGAGTGGAAGTTTTTGAAAACAAAGTAATAGAGCGATTAGCAGTTTGTTGTTTTTCACAGTGGAAGACTAATAAGTCTATATAATAGACTCTAGTAAGACTTACTAGAGTCTATTATTTTCCAGAGAATAAATAATAGAGTTGAAAAATAACACAATTCCGTAAAATTTAACAAATGTGATGTCAATAAACGAAAGTTGAAATTATTTATAGTGAGTTGATATTTTATAAGTTTAGTTTTAGCATTTACTAATCAAATTTTAAAAAATATTAATTTCTTTTTTTTAAATAAAAATTTTATATTTTTACTACAATTATTTTATACTGTTAGATAGTAGAGAAAACGTATAAATCGAGGATTTAATCGTAGTCAAGCATTTACTGTATATTCGTAAAAATAAAAAAAGTGCATTAATTTCCTTTATATATTTTACCGATACATTGCGCCAAGTAAGCATTAAACTACAGTCAGTAATATATATTATTCTTATATAAATTTATTAATTATAATAAACATACATTATGTCTAAAATTACATTATAATAGCACTCTCTAATTAACATCTGATGTGAGTAAATAATTGAATCGGGTCCCGCCGCCATCTTAAATAACGCGCGACCGTAATTGATCGATTTTGAACGCGTCGCGTTGCATCAAATTAAATAATTTATAAAAATTAAAATAACAAATACGTTTACAAAATAATTGACTATATCTATTCGCAATAGTACTCTAACACACATCGTGTTTAAAGAGTAGCATTTCTGCTAACATTTAATTAATTTTTGAATTTACTTATATTTTATATATAAAATGCGAATAAAAAAACATAAATTCGTAAAACNATTGCAAAAATTCATTTTTGCTAAAAGATCCCTTGGTGGGAACGCCTCCTTATTTGTAAGAACAGTACCTGAGATTAATTCGTGGCAAAAACTAAAACGAGCTCTGACCGATGAATTCTCTTTCGAAATTAATTCGGCTAGGTTGCATGAACTTGCGAGTAAGCGCACAATGCAGGACTCTGAATCTGTTCAAGAATATTATTTAAAGATGAAGGAGTTACGTAATTTTGGAAAAATAGATGACGGTGCTTTAATGCATTATGTGATTAAAGGGATTAATGATAAACATGAAAACAAAGCTATTTTATATGGATGTAAAGACTTGTTGGAATTTAAAGAAAAACTTAAAGTCTATGAAGTAATAAAAAGTGATTCTGTTAAGAGTAAAGGCGTTTTCGATAGAGTGAAGCCTAAACATGATTCTTACAATAGAAATAATAATACTTTTGATAGAAACAAACCAAGTTATGGAAATTATGGATCTAACACAAAATGCGAAAATGGAAATAAAAATAACATAAAGCATGATGGTTATGTTGATAATCGCAGTAATAGAATTTGTTACAATTGTGGTTCGAAAAATCATATTTCTAAGTATTGTATTCATAAGGATAAATGTTTAAAGTGTTGGAAACACTTTAAACATTTATCCTTATGAATACAAATTTGGCCTTATGGCCAAATGCGAAGCGTTTGGCCATAAGGCTTCTGAATGTCCAAGGTCAAATTCGAAACCAGAAGTTGCCACTTTAGACGTTACTATAAAACCGAAATTGTTTAAGACGATAATAATTGGTAACATAGGTATAAAGGCAGTGATAGACACTGGAAGTCAAGCAACGTTACTTAGAAAATCTGTTTTTGATAAATTAAGCTTTAGGAGGTTATCCCCAATTAATTCTACTTTGAATGGATTTGGAAAATCAGTAGTTGATCCATTGGGCTGTTTTACAGAAATATTCAAATAGATGATTTTAAGTGTCACGCTGATGTGTGTGTAGTAGCAGACGATGTAATGACTTATGACGCCATAGTAGGCCTTAATATTTTAATGCAGGGTGAGACAACTATTAATGATAGTGGTATCACAATAAGAAATAAAACTCGATGTGCTGAGGATATAAACTGTTTGTCTATTTTGCCAATCGATTTAACTACAATGGACGAAGTTGAAGCGAACATTGAGCCAGATGTTCCTAATATTTTTAAAAGTAAGGTGCAACAGTTGGTTTTGGATTATGTCCCACATGAAGTTAAAAGAACAAATGTAGAACTGAATATTTTGGTTAAAAATCATGAACCGATATTTCATCAGCCACGTAGATTGCCATTTTTCGAGAAAAAGATCGTAGAGGCTCAAGTCGCTGAATGGTTAATGCAAGAAATAATAGAGCCAAGTTCTTCAGAATATTGTAGTCCTGTTGTAATCGTAAAGAAAAAGGACGGAACGCCTCGTGTTTGCATAGATTACCGAAAATTGAACAAAGTAATCGTAAAGGACAGATTTCCCCTCCCATTAATCGAAGACATCTTAGATAGACTACAGGGATCACGGATTTTTAGCACAATCGACCTCAAAAATGGATTTTTCCATGTCGATGTAAATAAAGATAGTAGGAAGTATACTTCATTTGTGACACATGAAGGACAATACCAGTTCCTTAAGGTCCCCTTTGGATTTTGCAACTCTCCTGCTGTATTCCAAAGGTATATCAACACCATTTTCCGACCTTTGATTAATGATGGTATTGTATTACCCTATATGGATGACATCATCATTTTGTCTTCCTCTCTCGAAGAAGGAATCACACGACTTGAAAGGGTCTTAGAGCTTGCCAGTGATTACGGACTAGAGATAAACTTTAAGAAATCTCATTTTTTGAAAAAGAGAATTGAATTTTTGGGTCACATAGTGGAAGAAGGCAAAATCTTCCCATCTACTTTAAAAACTAGGGCCGTCCTTAATTTTCCGGAACCAACCAACTTAAAGAAAATTCAAAGCTTTTTAGGACTTAGTGGATACTTCAGGAAGTTTATTCCGAACTATTCCATTATTGCCAAGCCATTGAGTGACCTTTTAAAAAAAAGCCATAAATTTAAATTTGGCGAAGAGGAGAGAAATTCTTTTAATCGACTTAAGATGCTATTAGCTAAAAAGCCAGTCTTGGGAATATACAATCCTAATTACGAAACCGAATTACACACGGACGCAAGCTTAGAGGGGTATGGAGCAATTTTAATGCAAAAATCTCCAAATGATAATAAATTTCACCCTACCTATTACATGAGTAGAAAGACAACATACGCTGAAAAGAAATATTCGAGCTATGAACTCGAAGCTCTTGCTATAATAGAAGCTTTAAAGAAATTTCGTGTATATCTATTGGGAATCCCATTTAAAATAGTCACCGATTGTTCTGCATTTGAAAGGACTCTGGCGAAAAGAGATTTGTCTACCCGCATAGCTCGTTGGGTTTTGCTCCTACAAGAGTTCAATTATGTTATTGAGCATCGTTCCGGTACGAAAATAGCTCATGTCGACGCCCTTAGCAGATCTCCCGTAAATGTGCTTTGTATTTCTGTCAGCAATATTGTACCAAAGTTAAAATCAGCCCAGGATAAAGATAGTGAAACAAAAGCAATTAAAGAATTATTAAAAATTTCTAACTATGAAGATTATTATGAGAGACAAGGAATCTTATATAAATTTGTGGACGGTAAAGAATTAATCGTTGTACCTGAAAGTATGCAGACAGAGATTATAAGAGACGCCCATGAAAAAGGACATACAGGAATTAAATATACTGAGAAAAACATCGGAGAATATTATTTTATCCTCAAGCTTAGACAAAAAGTAGAGAAAATTGTAGCCAATTGTGTTCGTTGTCTACTAGTGAATCATAAGAAGGGAAAGAAGGAAGGACTTTTACACCCACTTCATAAAGAAGATATTCCATTAAAAACTTATCATATTGAT